AGTGATGAGATGGGTTTGCTGTCTTATGGTTTTGTGCCATTGTTTTTAAGGCTTCGCGCAGCTATTTCTGGTCGTTTCTCTTCAGTCGGGGGCGGGGGTGTGCATCCTTCGTTGTCCAACATCCGCCCGGGGGCGGTTTGGTCTTTGCACGTTTCCGCTTGGTAAGGACGGGGAGGAAGGACGGCGACGCCTACGGTCAAGGCGCACAGTTTTTCGGATATTTCCATGGTATTCGGCGGTGGTTTCGGCCATGGTCGGGTCGGGTGTGCGATTCCCTTGGCGTGCCCGTGTCGTTCGGTTGTGGCTTGGGCCGTGGTCGGGCGGGGTTGGTGCTCTTCAGACACCCTGCGATGCGGAATGCTGTTTTCCGCGCGCTTGTTCATCTGCGATTCGTGAGGGGGGCGGTCAGGAAAGCGCGTAGGGAGTTGATCTCCTGCTCTTGTGGCGTCGTGGAGCTCACGTTGTCGGCTGCGCTGCCTGTGCTGTGCGCCGCGCGTTATCGACGGCCGGTTTCCCCGACCGTTCGAGGGTAGTCTGTGCCTGGACCCCGAGTTCCCCCGCGTGGCCCCCGCCCCCGCGCCCCCTGCAGCTGGGGCCGAGCTTCCCTTGTGCGGGCGCGTGTTTTTGTTTTGTCTTTTTCCAAATGGACGGTGGATTGCATTCTGAGTGTTTGTGGACCCCCCAGCACACGAAGTTTTGGTTGTGAGCCTTCTCATCTTTCGTTTTGGCGGCGCCAAGAGAGTCGGTATGCCCAAGTGAACCAAGTGGGCGCCCTGCGCAACTGCTGGCGCGGCAACCTTCCTGGCGCCGCCGCGTCGGCTTCGTGTCGGGGGCCCTGAGACGGGGTCAATACAAAGGGGGTCAGCCAGAGCGGCAGATCTAGCAGGACCTTGCAAAGCCAGGGTTGCATTGACCCAGGCTGGCGCGCAAGATCCTACAGGATCTCGCAGGGCCTTGCAAAGCCTGACTGGCCTGGGTCTGCACTGGACCTGGCCAGTGCGTCCCTGGTCGTGTTCCTTCCTGTGGCCACTGAAGGGTGGCGTGCTCGGTCGGCACCAGAGCGACCCAGGCCTCCGCCCCTCGCTTCGGAGGGCGCCAACTATGCGCCTGCATCGATCTTGGCCAGGCCGATCTTGGGCCCTGGATCGGTGCGCATGCTTTCCTGCCCAAGCTGGGAGGGCGTATGCACCGATCTCGGGCCCGAGGTGATCCTTGCCAGCGTCGGTGCAGGCGCACAGTTGGTGTCCTCCTGCAGCCGGCCCCTTGTTTCAGTCCTAGTCGGGGCATTCCCCTCTCCTCTTCCCTTTTTCCCCCTCCCCCCTCTCCTTTCCCCCCTCCTTCCACTCTTGCTTACCTTTTCCTCTCCTCTCTGCCTCCTCCTCTCCCGGCTTCCCTTCACCTCCCCCGTGGTGGATCCGTCGTGGCTCGTGCAAAGGGGGCCGGCCAGGGTTGCCTCCCGAGCCCCCGTTTGCGGATCCCCAGGATTGAGTTGCTGGCCCAGTGTCGGGGGAGCGTAAGACCCGGGTTTGCCGGGACTCGGGTTCGCCATCGTTTTTTGACGACCGCGCCTCGGATTTTGACGAGGAGGAGTTTCGTGGGATGTCTGCAGCGGGAGGCCTCGTCAAAATGCAGGCTCGGCCTCGTCATTTTTTTGACGACCTCGTCGGGGATTTCCGAGTCCCCCGTACCCGGGTCTTACGTCTCCCCGACAGTGGCCGTCGCGGCCGGTGAGCCCGACGGCGCGGCGTGGCGGACCCGACGTTTTTGCAGGCGGCGGCGGATGCCCATCGCAGGGCCGTCGGCAGCGCCAGCGGCGCGGACGTCTGCATCCCCGTGGGCCGACGGGGAGGTCGTGCGCGCGGTGCTCGGCCGCGTGATCGCTCCCGTACTTGATTTTTCGCGGTAAGGGGATGCTCATAGGTCCTGAGCACAAAACGACGCGAGGATCGGGACAAAATCGGATCGGGATAACTCGAAATCTCTGAGAATCGGCGGGTTTGGAGGACGTATTGGGCGCCGCGGCCGCTCGGATTTTGACGAGAGCGTGGGATGTCTGCAGCGGGAGGCCTCGTCAAAATGCAGGCTCGGCCTCGTCATTTTTTTGACGACCTCGTCGGGGATTTCCGAGTCCCCCGTACCCGGGTCTTACGTCTCCCCGACAGTGGCCGTCGCGGCCGGTGAGCCCGACGGCGCGGCGTGGCGGACCCGACGTTTTTGCAGGCGGCGGCGGATGCCCATCGCAGGGCCGTCGGCAGCGCCAGCGGCGCGGACGTCTGCATCCCCGTGGGCCGACGGGGAGGTCGTGCGCGCGGTGCTCGGCCGCGTGATCGCTCCCGTACTTGATTTTTCGCGGTAAGGGGATGCTCATAGGTCCTGAGCACAAAACGACGCGAGGATCGGGACAAAATCGGATCGGGATAACTCGAAATCTCTGAGAATCGGCGGGTTTGGAGGACGTATTGGGCGCCGCGGCCGCTCCAGAGCGTTCCGGGACGCTCTGAGAGCCCTCCGGAACGCTCTGGAGCGATTTATCCCGATCCTAGCCCTGCTTTGAAGCATACCCTTACCCGTGGTCGGCCTGAGTAAACAGGGCCGTCCGCTGGATTGGGCGCTTGCCACTGCGCCCGATCAGCCTGCCGCTTGCGCGCTGTTTCAGCATCCGCGCGTCGGGACGCAACGACACGCTGAACGGCTGGTTGTTGGATTGTAGCGACATGCCGGGGTTTGCTTCAGCTCAGGGACGCGTGGGGGCATTGGGGGTGTCCGCGGGGTTTAGAAAAGCATTGGAGTGGTGGTGCCTGTTCCGTGGTGCCTGTCCCATTTGGGAACAGGCACCACCACTCCGTTGCGCTTGGGCCTGCCCGCAGAAGCGTCGTTGCAATCTCGCGCTCCCCCGGGGGCCGCTGCGGCTGCGTTCGGGGGCGCTCTCGGGGGCCGCGCGTGCGCCCGAAAGCGATTTCGACCAAACGCCACCTCGACTAGGTACGGGTACGTGTCCGGGGGTACCATCAACGCGCGTCGGCGACTGTGCCCCCCGACACGTACCTAGCTGGGATGACGCCAGGCGAGGTTTTCCAGGGAACAGCCCTTGGCGACCGCGCCTGGCGTTCGGGGCCCCAGGCGTTTGGGGCGAGCGCGGGATTGCAGCGGCGTTCGCCCAGGACACCCAGGACGCATTTTGCGCGTCGAGTCCAAAACGCTTGACTGTGCGCCTTCGTGGGCACACCTCCGACCGAGCTACTCTTGCCCGAGAGCGACCAATGCGTGGTCGGCCACTCTGCCGATTGGAACGCGCGTGCCTTCGGTGCCAGCGGATGCCCGGAGAAAGCAGCGCCCTGTAATGTTCCATGGGCCGTCGCATCTGCAATTGTGCAACCGCCGTCGGCTGCGGCGTGTCGCTCACCCCGGCCCTTGCCACCCCGCCTGGGTAAGGGTACGGGTATCTTTCGCGCTCGAGAGGTGTTGACCATTGAGTTGCGGCTATCACGAATTTGGAGGCCCGTGCGTGCATGAAACTTTTCTGAACGGTGCCGACGCCGAGATGGCGTACTTGGCCGTCGTGGCCGTCGAGGACGTGGCGAGGGAAATCAAGTCGCATGGATCTGCTTCGGCGGCGCTGTCCAGCGTGAGCATCGGCGCGGCGCCCGAGAAATTCTCGGGCGCGCCCGATCCGTTCCTGAACTCCGCGGGGTGGACGTCGTACATCAACTTGAAGCCTCTCCATGGCGTTTCGTCGTGGGCGCGGCGGCGGACGGCAACGCGCTGAAAGCGGCGGCGGGGGCGCGTCACAAAGCCATGGGCAGCATCGACGCCAGCGGCGTGCCCCTGGCCGCCGACCACGAGGCCGTGAACGCGGCGTTTGGCCGCGCGGTCGCTTCGGTGCCGACCTCGAATATCATGGGCGTCTACAGCGCCTTCGCCCAGATCGTCCCTAAGACAGGCCCAACAGTGTATTTTCCACGGTCGCCCCCCTGGCTGCGAATGGCGCTGCCAAGGCGTTCTGCGAGTTCAGAGACGTGATGGAGGCATCTCGCTGAGGTGAGCATCCAGGGCGGAGGCTCAGGAGCTGCGGGGTCGGTGCCCCCGTCGAGGTCTGTGCGCACTCATCGACTTCTTGCGTTCGCATGGTGCTATCAAGGAAGCCGCGGGTGCTCCCCGTGCCCGGGCGCGGGCAGAGTGTGCTCTTCGAAATGTATACTGGATGCCGGGGGTGGGAAACATCTCCTCGGGAAACTCCAGGAGTCGGCTATGACGGGCATCCCGTAGGGGTGCCGCGAAGGCCATCAGTGTTGATTCGTGTGTTTTGCCGTGGCGGCGGGGGAACGCGAAAACACCAGGAGTCAGCCGTCAAAACATTTGCATACCGTGGCATGTTTGGTGCTCCCTTGGGGCGTTCTGGAACGCATTTTGAGCTTTCTTAGGGCTTTCCTGGGGCGCCCTTGGGGCGCTCTTGGGGTGCTCGTGGGTTCTCTTGATGCAGGGGTGCTCTTGGGGTGCCCTGGGTGTTTTTGGTGATGCAGGGGCCATCTTGAGGCAACAGGAACCACTAACAAGCGAAAAGGAGAAGCGTTCAAACGAGCTGAAGTACCTGACGTGGGGTTGTTTGGGCGCCTCGAGGCCCTTTGGAGCCGTTCTGGAGTCATCGTGTGGCCTCTTGGGGACATTCTGGGCGATGTATTGGCCCAGCTTGGCCAATCCTGTGCCATTTCGGATGCCATTTTGGTGCATGTGGGGCCATCCTGAAGCCGTTTTGGGCGCAAACGCACCCCCCGCCCTGACCGCTCCGCCCCCCCTCGTCCAGACCCAGGCGGGGGGGGAGGGGTAAACCCTTTCCCGAACGGAAATTGGGGTATACCCCGGGAGTGGCTTTCAGACATGCTCCATCCGACCCCGACTTGACTTGACCCCCTCCTCGATCGCCTCTCGTTCTCTTCTTCCTCCTTCGCCGCCTCCTGATTCCCCCTCTTGCTCCACGTCCCAGTGTGCGCATCCCGCGCTAGGTACACGTGGGACGAACTCAGTCAGTTCTACAAGGGGAAGTACAAGAAGAAGGAGATCGAGGCCTTCGCCGTCCTGTCTTCTGCATTCCTGCGCCCTCCCTCATGCCTCCTCCTTACTCCCGCTTCCATTTTCCCTCTTCCCTCCTCCCTCCTCACTCCTCCCCCCCCTTCCTTCCTCCGCCTCTTCTCCCTCCTCCCTCCGCCTTGCCATCACTCATTCTTTCTTCGCCCGCAGCGCCCTCTTGGTCGTCCTCGTGGTCTTGGTCCTCCTCGTCATTATCCTCGCCTCCTTCCTCCTTCCTCCGCCCCCTCCGCCTCCTCTTCATCTTTCCTTCGCCTCGTCGTTCTCGTCCTCAACCTCTTCGCTGCCCTCGTCATCCTCCTCACCTTTACCCTGCAACTCCCTCCCTTGTTGCTCCCTCTTCCGTCCTCCCCTCGCCTCCCGCCCCCCTTCCCCTCGCGCCTTTCCTCGCCCTCCTCTGCTCGCTGCCTCTCGCGATCGGCCTCCCCCCCTTGAAAAGATGCTCCCATCATGACTTCCCTCACTCCGCAAGTCATCTGTCAAGGTGGTGGGGGGGTGGGTTTGGGTGGGTGGGTGGGTGGGCGGGCTTAGCGTCGCCGCCCGTGGAGACACTGGCAAGGCAGCGCGCCCCCGCGACTCCCAATTCTTGATTGAGTTATTCGAGCTTCTTCTTGTGGTTCTTGGCTTGTTACGTGTGCATGCTTCTCCTGGTGGGCCTTGCCTGGGGGGTTCCGTCTTGTTTTGCGGAAGAGGCCGGTGGATGCGACGCCCCAATTCCGAGGCGGCGCCAAATGCCGCTCGGGTTCCTTGGTGTTGGTTCCTTGCTGTGTTGCTCGGGTTCCTTGATCTTGGCTTCTTGCTGCGTTGCTCAAGGTCTTCGGTCTGGGCTCCTTGCTGCGTTGCTCGGCTTACTCGGTGTTGGTTGGGGTTCCTCTGCGTTCCATTCCTTGGCTCGAGGTGACCCCGACGTTGCTCGGAGTTCCTCGGCGCAATGCCAAGCAATGCCAAGCAACGCCAAGCAACGATTTCAAACACTGCCAAGCTACGCCAGGCAATGCCAAGCAAAGCCACGCAACGCCCAGCAATGCCAATCACTGCCAAGCAATGTCTAGCAACACCAAGTACTGCCGAACAATGCCGAGCAGCGAGGGGTCTCTTGGGGGCCCTGAGGGCACTTTCAGAAGTCGTGGAGCCGCCTTGAAGCCTCTTTGAAAGATGTTGGAGGCTATCTGAAGCCATCTTGCGATATCAGGCGCCGCTCTGGAGGTCATCTTGTGTCATGTGGGACCATTTTGGAGCCATCTTGGGCCCACAAGGACCCTCCAACCTCTCGTGACCCCAAAGTTCAGACCCAGGGTAGGGGGTAGGGGGAGGGGTCAAGCCACCCCCTCCGATGAACGGTCGTCTCGCTCACTCCCACCCACCCTCCCAAAACAAGTAACACCAGAGTCTCAGCGTGGTGCAATCTACTTGGTGCACTCGATGTTGTGCAATATATGTATACATCTTGTGCAATCTATGTTGTTCAATCTATGTTGGGCAACCTATGCGGTGCAATCTCTGTGGTGCAATCGAGTTGGTGCAATCTATTTGGCGCAATCGATGTTGTGCAATCGGCGTGGTGCAATCGATGTGCTGTAATCTATGCTGTGCAAGCGGCGACGGGGCGGCGACGGCGACCACATAGCCGCCAGACCGCCAGCCAGGCTTAGACGGGCGGCGTCGAGGCGGCGACCGGGCGGCGGGGCGGCGACCGCGACCACCGAGCCGTCAGACCGCCAGCCAGGCCCAGACGACGGGCGGCGATGAGGCGGCGACCAGGCGGCGACGGCGACCACCGAGCCGTCGGACCCCCAGCCAGGCCCAGACGACGGGCGGCGACGAGGCGGCGACGGGGCTGCGACGGCGACCACCGAGCCGCCAAACCGCCAGCCAGCCCTAGTTCCTCAAAACAGGAGCAATAACCCCGAAGTGCAAGCACAGTTTTGGGAAACATGACTGTGGGGCGCCTCGCGCGCGGTCGAAGACTTTGCCGCAGCGTGCGCACAGCCTGGGTTTTTGATACAGACTGCGGGCCTGCACGCGCGGGGCAACGTGATGCTCCCCCGTCGTCCCTGTCAAGCACCTGTGCGAAGTGATCGCGCGGCGCCCGAGCATGATCCAGTTTTGTCTCCGAGCTTTTTTGTTTTTTTGTTTTTCTCCTGCAGGGATGGTGTGGCGGGTGATGGCATGGCACCCGGTTTGTCACTGGTCGGGTGGGATACGTACGGGGTGTTTCTTGGCAAGGCACAGGGACGAACATCTCCCAGAATAGAGGATGGGGTGTAGAAAGGGGGAGGATGAGATTTGTTGTGCCACCTGCCCCCAGAGGTTAGGTGGGACTTCAGTGTCCTGGCCATAGAACGCGAGGAAGTGCCCAGCGAGAGCTTCGTCCTGGACAGGACAGCACCACGACGACCCAAGAGGGCCCCAGCAGGCCAGCCACAGCTGGGGGAGCTGTGGCTGGTCGGCTCAGTCGGTTACGTAGTGCTGCAAGGTACACTGCCCTGGTCCCGGCGTCCAGACCACCTTGCCAAACAAACCTGACAATGTCAGCGAGAACTGGGATCACCCCCCAAAAAAGGGCCACAGACGGTTGCACAACCGACTCGCTTGACGAGTCCCGTGGCCCGCCCAGACGGCCCCACGCCCGCCCGCAGAGCCCAGAGGCCCCCCAACATGGGGCTTTCGAAGCCCATCTCGGGGCCACCAGGGGCTCCTTCTGGGACCCCCGTATCTTCTTCGCCGGCTAATGGGAGTCAGCCTTTTGGGAGTCAGGAGGAGCTCTTCAGGCCTTGCTTTTTCCGAGGTAATTCCTTCGGACATTTTCGGCCCAGATTATATGATATTTTGTTAGAGCGTGTTTTCTCTTTAGTTTGCCTTTCGCAGACTCTGACCCCTAGACATTTGAGCCCAATCAGCAGGCGAACGAGTATCCGGTCATCGGCGTCTCCGATGTCCTTTTGGAACAATCTTACGCCCAAAAGTTATGCACCCCAGATATTCACTCCCGACCCCGAGGTGTTCCGTAGGCTTGCGGCTGATCTGGGTCAGGGGGGGGCTCTCCTGGGACTCTCGCGGGCGTCTTCGGGCCGTCTTCGAGTAGTTTTGGAACATTTGGGGCCTTCCTCGACCGACGCGTCGCGCGGCGGTCTCAAGCGCCCCCGCGTCCGCCCGCGGATCTGAGAACCGCACCCCAGGAGGCCTTTCGTCCCCAGGGTGGAGGGGGTCTACGCCTGTGGCATTCTCCCCTTGTGTCCAGGGCTTCATGTAATGCCTACAGACAAAGTCTTCGGAGCTAACTTGAACTTAAGCGCGCGCGTAGCGCGTGGTTTCAGATGTCAGCCAGCGTTGACTCCAAACAGTGTGTTTCTAGCGGTTTAGGTTACGCAATCCAGGTGGAGCAATCTACGTGGTATACTCAACGTGATGCAATCGATATGGTGCAATACATGTTGTACAATCTATGATGTGCAATCGACGTGGTGCAACCAATGTGGTGCAATCGACGTGGTACAATCTAGGTGGTGTACTTGATTTTAACAAACGAGTTGACACATCCTGTGCTCTTGCAAACATCCCACCCACCCACCCGCCCCTTGGTTTGCAACACCCATAAGGTGGCGATTGCGATGCATGCTCGGCGTTGGCTGTTGCGTCTCTGCGGCCGCGCCAACCCAAGCACGCGCGCGCAGCGGCCAGCCGGTTTGGCGCGGCCGACTTGGCCGCGGTGGCGCTGATCGTTGGGCACATACCAGCGGGCACTTCATTGCGAGTCGGCGATCTGGGCGGGCGCGGTATCATGGCAACGTCGACGACGGTAGACGTTAAGGGCGAGTCTCCAACGACTTCGACGACGACGGCGACAACGACGACGACTACGACGACGCCGACGCTGACGACGACGACGACGATGACAACGCCGACGGCGACGACGCCGCCGACGACGAAGACGACGACGAAGACGACGACGACGCCGACGACGACGACGGCGACGACGAAGACGACGACGACGAGACGAGGGAGGAGGGAGGACGACGACGGCGACGACGACAACAACGAGGGAGGAGGGAAGACGACGACGACGACAACGACGGCGACGAAATAGGATGGACAACGACGAAACGCTGACGAAGACGACGAGGGAGGAAGGACGACCACGGCGACATCGACGACGGAAACGATGACGACGCCAAAACGAAGACGACGACATTTTTTGGGGAGTTCGATTTTGAAATTATTCCGACGAAACCAAGAAGGTTTTTGCAGGATTTCCCCATGCGCGCGCGGCGACGCGCGCGTGTGCACTTCCCCTCATTTTATGCAAGGGATTCTTGGACACTTCTGATTTTTGATGAACGACTGTACGCGCATATTCTTTTGCAGAGGATGGCGGGGGGTGGGAGTGATACCGGCTTGGCTGGGATATTATGAATTCATATATCGCATGGACGATGGGGCAGAATCATACGTAAATTACAATACGAAAAGGTGATCCGTTAATTCCGGGGGGGGGTAGAGTATTTTTTAAAAACAGGAGAATCCAAACACTTGTTGTGTAATCGACGTGGTGCAATTCATGTTGTACAATCTAGGTGGCGACGGGGTGGTGACGAGGCGGCGACGAAGCGGCGACGGCGAGCACGGAACCGCCTGACGGCCACCCAGGCCCGGACGACGGGCGGCGACGAGGCGGCGACTGGGCGGCGACGGCGAGCACGGAGCCGCCACAGCGCCACCAGACCGCCACCCAGGTCCACATTTTTGGAGCAGAATTCAAGAATCCCTGAGGGCAAACACTGTTTGGGGAACGTCTATATATACACACTAATTTGATGCAGTGGATTGGATCCACGCAGTTGGCGGATCGAGGAGCGACGGCGCGCATTGGGTTTTGCGACGCTGTTAGTTACTGCCGTTCGCCCTTCGAAGCGAGTTTCACAGTTGTTACTCCACCGAGGGCGCCCGAGGCGTTCAGGCGGGGGCCGAGGTCTTCGAGCGTTGGGGGAGCAAAAAGGTCGAACGTTTGCAGGCCGTTTCAGCGTTTGAACAGCCACGCCGGGATCGCAGCGGACGCGGGAGCGGTTCCGGGCACACGCGGCGTCGTCGAGGGCCACATCGGAGGTGCCGGAACGGCGTCGCGGCAGAGTCGGGGACTCAGCGGGGCAACGGTTCTTGCATGTCCGAGGCCGAGCGCGCGGCGTACTTGGGCCCCGCGCGCGGTGCGGAGCCGCCGCCGTTGGCCCACTCCGAGCTGGCACGGCGCTGTGGAGGCCGCGTTCTTCGGCACCCGCCGCGCGAGTCGCAGCAACCCGTTGCGGTTGGAGCAAGTCTCGTCCTTTCTGCTCCGTCTCCTCCCCCGTCCTCCTCCTCTGCCCCGTCCTCGTCCTGCCGCCCCCGGGGGGTCCAGAGGCAGGGGCCCCGTGGGAGAGCGGACGGCGCGCCGCGCGCGCCGGCTCGCCGCCGCCGCGCCCTGGCCGCGGCCGCTGCCCCCGGCGGCGCCCGGGAGCAGGCTGCCGCGCCCGGCCGCCGCGGCTGTCCGCCCGCTTCCGCCCCTGGCGCCGCGCGGCGCCGCCGCCCTTGCCGCCGGCGCGCGGCGCCCTCGCGCGGCGCCCTTGCGCGGCCCCAGCCGCGCTCGCGCCCGCGGCCGCCCAGCAGCGCCTCGCCGCCGCCAGCGCCGCTCCCCTAGGAGCTCTTCGCCTCGCGCCGACCTCGGTCGGCGCCAGGGGCTGTTGTCTGGTATGTGAGGGAAAGAACTGGAACATTGTTCTGATATTTCTCTATTCAAATCCGTGTTCCAAGCTTGTGTATATCCATATACTGAGATCTCTCTCTCTCTCTCTCTTTCTTTCTTTCATTCTCTCTCTCTCTCTCTTTGTTGCTTTCTCTCTCTCTCTCGCTCCCTCTCTTTTTGTACATAACTAATACGTATGTGTATTTACCATCTGCACATGTTTACGACTCTATGTATATGTGCATGTACACATACTTGAGTACTTCATGCAAGATCCTCGTTCCGTGGTCCAGTACGCCCCCCTCGCGCACCGCTCTCCGATCCCAGGCCTATTGGGAGGAGTGCAAGCCGGCGAAGAGGGCGAAGTCGAAGTCCAAGGCGGCGAGTTGCCAGACGACGTGCGGGATGATATTATTCAGGCATTACGCAATGGGGGGCGATAAATGGGTGGTTGAAGAAAGATGCACGTTTTGTGCCGGGGCCCGAAGGGGCCCCCTGGGTCCCAAAAGGGGCACTATGGGAGCACCTTTCTTGGTTTCCCCATCAATCCCCCCCCAGTAAGCATCGCCCCAATGACACTTGTTCGGCGGGGGCTTTAGAACCGTGTGGTGACGTACCGCGTGGTGACCTCGGAACCCCCAACGACCTCACCGCGCGGTCCGTCACCGCCTGGCTCTGGGACCTCTGAGGCCCCAGTCGCTTGCGACGTTTGCGACGTTCTCGAAGAGCGGCCCGAGTCCCAAAACCGTGCGGTGACCCTGAGTCCCCACTGGCTCACCACGCGGGATGGTCACCACGCCGTCTGGGGGCCCCCGGGTGGCGGCACGTGCTGAAGACGCCTGTGGCGAACCTCCGCCCCATGCCTTTTGGAGACGCCTATGTGGCCAAACGTTGGGCCAAAGTCTGGCCAAGCTGTTGGATCATGTGCTCCCTCCAGTTTTTTTCCCCGCGACGCGGCTGTGCCCCTGGGCACCCACATGTCAATTTTTCGCGCCGGAACTCGTGATACCGATTTGTCTTCGAACCCCGCGGGGCGCGTTGCGCGCGCCGTTAAACATTGAAATTGGGGGCGACGGGGGTTGGACAAACTGGCGTTTGATCTCGCGGAGGGTTCTAGTGGCCTTCGGCCAATCGCGCCACAGTGCCTGTGTCGTGAACCGGAGGCCCTTTGAGTGCCTCTTGGGATCTCTCTTGGGAGTCTTTTGGAGGCCGTCCGTGCGGGATGGTCTGCCCTGGCTCTGGCGAGCATGCTGGTGGACGGTGGTCATGATGGTGACGACGACGGCGATGATCGTGGCGATATTGATAATGTGTACGCATGCTGAGGCTGGTGATGAGGATAATGATAATGATGATGATGATGATGATGATGATGATGATGATGATGATGATGATGATGATGATGATGATGATGATGATGATGATGATGATGATGATGATGATGATGATGATGATGATGATGATGATGATGATGATGATGATGATGATGATGATGATGATGATGATGATGATGATGATGATGATGATGATGATGATGATGATGATGATGATGATGATGATGATGATGATGATGATGATGATGATGATGATGATGATGATGATGATGATGATGATGATGATGATGAGCGGGCTCGGTTTGCAGCTGGGGCTGAGAGAGTCTCAGGAAAATTGGACGCAGGTTTCCAGACAACCCTGTGGCATCACATTTTCCATGGTCTCTCTGGGTCGAGCGTGTGCAGCCACACTCCCAGGCCTCTGTTCTCGCGGTGCCGTGTGCACTCTCGAACCTCTACTGGGTTGGGCTGCGATCGGCCCCGCAGGCGGAGCCGAGCCGCCCCGTCAAGCTCGACGAGCCGCTGGACGCCGCGGCTGCTGCCTTGGGGGGCCCCGGACGCGGCGGAGCGGGCGGAGCCCGCCTCGGGCGAGGCCGGCGCCGCGCGCGAGAGGACAGGCGCCCGCCTCGACCTGCTCGAGGCCCGCGTCTCCGAGCTCACCGAGCTGCTCGGGGCGCGGGCGGCCGCTCCTGAGCCTCCGCCCCCGCCGCCCCCCTGAGCCGTCGGCGGCTGCTTCGGCCGCGGTCTCGGCGGCGGTCTCCGTGCTCCTGGGCAGCTGGTCGCTGGAGCTGCTGAAGACGGGGGCGGCCTGCTGCCTCGGTCCCGTGTGCTGCCCGAGCAGGCGGCGCGACGGCGACGGCCCTGCAGCTGCGGGGCGCGGGCCGGGGAGTGTACTTCAGCCAGGACGGCCAGTCCGTCGCGGCGGCGGAGTGGTGCGGTAAGTTGCTCTCTGGCCTCCACGTGGCGATCTGCTATACGGGCGACCCCGACTATTGGCACGAGCGAGTCCTGTTGTGGCCTGCCAGTCCCGACCTACCCCCTAGGAGATGGTTCGTGGCCGCGCCTGACGGAGACATATACGCCGAGCCGATCAGGGCTGGCATGGGCTGGGGATCGCGCTTCGCCATCCTGGACTCCACGGGCGGCAATGCAGTCATCCCGCCGGGAACGTTGTACGCCTTCGAGCCGCTGCCCAGCGATGATGACCTCGCGCGGCATATCACCGAGACCATCGAGGAGGCAGCGCTGGACGGGATCCGCATCGCCGCGCAGGATGAGCTGAAGTACCTTCGGCGTGACGGACGAGAGGTGCCGCCGGGGGGCCTCGTGCCGCTGCCGCCCCCGCTGCAGGCGGCCGAGCCCCTGGTGGAGGTACCTCCGAGTGACCACGGGGACGCCCCAGCCGCGGGAGAGGTGGCTCAGCCTGTGCTGGGGACGGTCACGCCGCGCGGTCGCCACGTGCCCGAGCCTGGGCGTGTCTGGGTCAGCCTCGACACGGTGTCTGGCCAGATCGCCCGCGATGGTGAGGTGAAACTCAGCGAGTCCGCCCTGCTCGATGACGACCGTGCCGTCCATGTCCTGCCCAGCGGCAAGCGCATTGCCGCGCGTCTGGCCGACCTTCCCGTGGAACCGCTGATTGACGAGTCGGGCCTGGGGTATGCCAGAACGCTGGGGCCGCTGCGCTATGACTTCCAAGGGCAGCGACATCTGGACTACCGCACGGGTGTCCTGGAGCTCCGCGAGGAGGCCCTGGACGCGTTCCCGCTGAAGGGAGAACGATCGTTCTTGTGGCTTCAGCGTTGCATCGCCGAGCACGGAGGCACGCCCGACGGCCGCCGCACCAAGTACCTCGCGGAGGAGTCCCTGCAGCCCGACAGCACGGCGGGCCACCTCCATGACTTGCTGGGGCTCTCCATGTTTTCGAGCGTGGTGCATGGCCAGGTCGACGGGTCCAACTTGGCATGCGTGGAGGTGGTCGCCAGATGCTACCAGCTGGTGGAGGAGACGAAGGGCTCCATGCGCACCGATGGCCTGGAGTACTACATCGGGCGCGACCAGGGCGGCGCCACTCGGCGCGGCGTCGCCGTGGCGCCGGGACTGGCGCGCCACGCGACCGAGCAGCTGGCAAAGCAGGTGGAGATCGCCAAGCAGCGCCGCAAGTTCAGGGAGGAGCAGGCGGCGAAGCGCGGCGAGGGCAGCCACGACAACAACAAAAACAAGGGCGAGGACAAGGACAAGGCGAACAAGGACAGTTCGCCAGCGGGGTGAACTTCGCGGGGGCCACGCGTGGCGAGCGCGCGCCCGATCCAGAGAGCCGCTCAAGTCGCCCTGTGGCGGCCCCTCGTGCTGGAGATGGCGCGTTCCCAATCAACTCTTTCTGCGACCCTGGCATGATCCCCGTTGGCCGCCGCAGTGGTATATCTGCATGTATTTTGAAGCGCTCCAGGGAGACGATGGAGGCGCTGAACTTCATGGTCGGCTACCCGACCTACGGGTCCGTCTCCTCGGCCCCTTCTCCCTGGCACCAGGCGCTGCGTGAGCGAGTGGTACGGCTACGTGCTGAGCACCGCCCGCCTACTTCGGTGTCGTCTCGGACGTCTTGCGGGGAGCTGCTGGGGCAACTCCTCCTCGGCTACGCTGGGGAGGTTACGCCGCTGCGATCCTATGCGCGACGCTAGGTCTCTTGGCCTGACGTCGGCGACCGACCTGGGTGGCTGACAGACGGGCTCACCGCTCGGGACCAGTCTATTCTCTTGGATCGTGACCACTCGCTCGTGCTGCCGCAGCCCGAGTTCAAGGAGGTGATCAAGACTGAGCAGCGGCCTCTACTCCATATGGGTCCTGTTTTGAAAAATCACGCAAATGCTTACCATGAGTTTGTTCGAGATGGGCTAGCGCGAGGCTGCATCCGTGTCGGCCGTCATCGACGGGAGGATGTGACTGTCTTCTTCATCGCAACGGAGGACGGCGGCCTGAGGCTGGTGCTGGACTGTCGCCGATCTAACCAGAGGTTCACCAGGCCCGACCCAGCGGCGCTCTTCAGCGGGGCCGCCTTCGGCGACTTCGGGTGCCTGGACGTCAAGAGTGCCTTCTACCAGCACCGCCTGTCGCCCTCCCTGTGCGACTACTTCTGCTCGCCGCGGGTGCGAGCTGGTGCTGTGGGGGCGACGCGCGTGCAGGGCCGACCTGTCGAGCCGTGGGGCGTGGTGTACCCGCAGATGTCCGTGGTGCCAATGGGCTGGTCCTGGGGGCTTTACATGGTGCAGGGGGCCCACGAGTGCTCTCTGGACGGCCGCCCCCTCTTTGCGACCTGCCCGAGGGCTGTCGACTTCCGACCGCCCCCCTCGGTGCAGGATGGGCCAGCCCGCTCGCTGTGCGTCGACAACGTGCTGCTGGTAGGCGCCGATGAGGCGGAAGTCATCTCGAGGAGGCGCCAGGCCTGCGGGCCGTGAGCTGAGAATTTCCCAAGGCATCCTCATCCTGCTATCTCGTCGTCTGGATGCCGAGTGGCCCCAAGCAGTTATAGCCACCGACGCGTGCGAGACGGGTCGCGCGTCTGTCATCGCCGATATGCTGATCGACTTCGTCAAGCGAGCGGGGGGGTGGCAGGAGAGGTGGCGATGCCGACATACTCTATCTGATGATGGTATCTACCGACCACGTGACCGAGCGAGAGGCGCGGAGGAGCTGAAGGGCGAGGGCGTGGACGTGCGATCGATCGACGACATGCGAAAGGTCGGCGAGGTGGATCCGAGCTTCCCCGAGATCTTTCCCCAGTATGTTGGGGCTGCCAAGTGGGTCTTCCAGCGTCGCAGACTCATGAGGGGTCCCAGGGCCATGCGTCGTAAGGGGGCCCGAGGAGTAGCCGAGGCAATTCGTGTACATCTGTCTGACCCACAACGATGGGGTAAACGGGTGCTTCTCTTGGGCGACAACCTGGGCCTCTCTCTCGCTTCGTCGAAGGGTCGGGCTCGAGATGCGCGGCTTCTCAATATCATGCGCTGCTGGTCCGCCCTGCTGCTTCTGACGGGCGCAATCGTGTGT